ATAACAGAAACTGAGAAAATAAGATTAAATTTAATTTCAATAGGTATTTAAAAATCTGGTATTAAAATAGTAAAAATTTTGTTATCATTACGTATTCGAGCACGCGCATGCATGAAATATACATACTTATTCGTACTTCTTATGTACACGTAATTCATACATTCTCAGTACTTTCATGTTTGCTATGATATATGTATTAATACATGTACGAATTGTTGGTTATGTAATACAGAACGAAAAAAAAATTATCACCATAGTGCCCAAAAAAAGGTACTTTTGTCTAGGTACGAGGAACAAAAATTACTTTTATTCAAAATTACTGTTCGTGCATTTGATATGACATCATAAATGTACAATCACATGCAAGGGGTCAATTTTATCACCTAGAAATTTATAATATATACCTTTTATTTATATTTATATTCCTTTATTTGTTATATTTTTTTTTGACAGTTAATAAAATATACGAAATCTGTCAAATAGACAATTTAAAAAATCGGCGCGAAGAACATAATCCGTGCTGTCGACTGCTCGCAGGAAGCTAGATTAGATATGCGCAGGAATCATCCGCGAATACAGAGAATTGATTGTGCGCTGAGAGATAACGTAAATTGCGGTGGCGAATCATCTCAAAGTCAGCTGTAAAAGGCGCTGACACGCAAGGAAAATTGTCCTCTTCCAGCGAACCTGGGACGCGAAGATCTGCTGCCTACCCAGACCTGGAACTCCTCTGTGCACTGGTGCTAACCGCAACGAGCACGAGCTGAGAGAGAGAGAGAGAGAGAGAGAGACCACGTAGTTGAGATACTAGAGATAGCGACGGCGCTTCTTAAATGAAATACTTGAATAGATTACTAGAGCTTTGCTCTAGGTACTTAAGATCCCGAAGACAACCTAACTCTACGTGACTCTTTCAGGATAGGCATAGAGCCCAAGACTAACACTCCGAGGCTGTACTACTCTCAGTGGAACATCCAACGTAAAAGAGAATTTATGCGGGAAAATTTAAAAATCTTTTAAAATATATTTTGGAAAAATTTTAAGTAAAAAATTTAATCCAGTTTGGATTCAAGCGTGAAATTCATCTTATCTCGAAATGATTCATAGCCTTTGAAATAAACAAGAAACTTTTTGGTTGTTAATTGAAAAATTGCTATGATTAATGAAATAAAAATAAGTGAAAAACCTAGAAATTAAAAGCATAATTACCTTATTAAAATAAAGGTGAATAAATTTAAGAAAGAGAATAATCAATCGTACTCGTTTATTTAAACCTACCCCTCAATAGGAGATTGCGAGTCCTTATATTACTTAAAGTTCACTTGAGAATTTCATTATAAGTGATTTTGTTATTTAGTTCACAATCTAATTAATTAAGAATTTTATTGTTTTATCTATTGCCGAGCTCACGAGTAGATAAGAAATTGAGTTATGTAAAATAAAAATAAGTTTTAACGTTTAAGAACTTTATCCGTGCCCAAAGAAGTATAAATAAATTTACTTAGAATAAGAATAATTCACCAAAGTAAAAATCAATAAATCAATAATCAAAGATAATCGTGATATAAATTGCAGGGATTTATAGATTATTTAACACTTAATTTAAACTTAAGATAAAAGCTATTTTAAGATGTTTTTTTTTATGAAATTGGCAACCCGAGCGATTTCGCTCTTTTACACTAGGCAACGAACCCGCCCTCCAACATATGATTACCTGTATTGATTGTGTGTTGGTTTCTAATCTCAAGTTTCCCTGGCATAGATAGAGATTTCACTATATTAATATTAGATTCTTAAAAACCTATTAAAATAAGGTGTACACTAATTTTCTCAGTGTCTGTTATACCAAGTTTAATAACATTAGAGTTAGAAGATTTACTTCTACCGGGGGTTACGAGACTCTTATCTGGTTGTATTTAGAATGAACTATTTGAAGGAAAAAAAAAATTTAATAAAATGCGTGGCATCGTGTGATGTGGAGAGGAAAAGGTACAGATGGTATTGTAAGGGAGTGGAGAGATGGGGAGTAACGGTACATGCAAAATCTACTTTTATCACACATTTCTTAAAGGTTACCAATCTGAGATTATTGATTCACTCTGGTGAATAACGTGCCTATAGAAGTATAGCTTAAAAAACGGGTGACCTGTATATTTTTTAACGTTTTAAGACAACGCAACTGTCCTGTATCTAAATCCTGAAGGAATCGTACCAGTGGTGAGAGAAATTCATTTCTAAGGATAAGTTGTTATAATAAAATACAATTCTTGTATAAATATATTGTTATGTAATATTAATAATAATGATCGCATTCTTTAGTTTTCATACCAGCACTATTGCATTTCTTAACCTGTGAATAATTGAAATTCGTCTTAAAGTTTATGTTCCAGCTTTATTCAAAATACTGAGTCAATTTTAAACATCATTTTTTAACTTGCAAACAATACTATGACTACATGACACGCCTGAATTACCATGTTGCATTAACGCGTGGTTACAGAGAATATATTAATTACTAATTCACTTCTTAGATTAACCAAGGCATTACCAGTATAATGAAAAATTTTTCATCTCAAGCTTTGGATAAAATGCTTTTTCTGGTGCATCTCAATATATCACATAAGTGTTGTGTGGCAGAATAAGACTCCTGTTAGCTGTTGCTTAATGGTGTCGTTCTACTGTGAATACTTAAAAGTATGAAGTCTTAGAGTATTTGTTGACTCTAACATTGCATTACAATTGAAACTTTTTTAATGTTAAACAAATGCCATTTCACTTCAAATTGTAATAAATGATAACCTACAATAAGAAACATCATTAGTATCTCCTTTACTGTTTGATACAAATTCCAGCCCAAACTCAAAGCTTTTGTTTTCTTCTTACAATAAAATTAGGGTCTAGAATCCTTAGTTTATGTTAAATTTACATAAAAAGGGACTGCTGCTCTTTTACAGCAGTAATAAAAAATATACAGCATGATATGTAACGGTGGCATTTCCCGAGAACCGCGTGGAGAGCGATTTTTTCTGACGCGAACCCCGTTGGAATTAATTTTTTAGGGCAAATAGCTTTTAAATGGGAGCTGAGTGAAAATACGTTCCAAACTACCCCTAAATAGGGTTGGAAAGCTATAGCGCGCCCGCATGAACTCGCGATATTGCCACATTGTTATTGGAGCTTAGTCGGTAAGCAGTGAGAACTATATCCATGTGAGCATGCAAGAGCGTCAGCTACTACTGGTAACTTGAAGGTTGAATGTAAAAATTTTTACCTTAAGGTAAATGTTGTCTGCTCCTTATGTTGTCAGTTGTTTATCCACGCGCTTACTGTCTGTCTCACTCTCATATTGGACAAAAACATCTTTAAATTTTTATACTTAAGTAATGTTACCTCGAATGAAAGTAAAATACCATATCATTAGGGATTTTTCCACTCTACACGATAGTATTTTTGCTAAAATAGTCGACCTCTCGGTCAAAAATATTGTTGTTAGGTATGTCTTGCTTACGTTCCCGGGTATGTCGTCTGTACACGATTCAGAACGAGTCCACTCATAAATTGCAATAATTAAGTACCCGGGAAGTGCCCTAGAAGTACCCGCCAAGTGCCCGGGAAGTACCCGGTAAGTGCCCGGGAAGTACCCGCCAAGTACTCGGTAAGTGCCCGGGAAGTACCCGAGGAAGTGCCTGGGAAGTACCCGCCAAGTGACCGGGAAGTGACAAGGAAGTACCCGAGGAAGTGCCCGGGAAGTACCCACCAAGTGCCCGGGAAGTGCCCGGGAAGTACCCACCAAGTGCCCGGGAAGTACCCACCAAGTACCCGGGAAGTGCCAGGGAAGTACCCGCCAAGTGCCCGGGAAGTACCCGCCAAGTACTCGACTCCGCACGCGCGTTTTCGAATACGTAATAATATTAAAATTCTCACTATTTCAATATGAGATTCTTAAAGATCTATTGAAATTAAGTGTACTCTAATTTTCTCTGTTTCGATTTTACCAAGTTTAATAATATTTAAGTTGGAAATTTCACTTCTACCAGGGGTCCCGAGACCCACACCGGATTAACACTTCTTTTCTTCTTCAAAAGATTCCGTAATTTATGGATAGTTTTCAATATTCAGTTTCTTAGACGTCTTCTTTTTAGGAAATAAGATAACCGTATATAAAATTCGAAATACTTAAAATGGCAAGATCCTCGAAAATTGAATTTTAGGAAAAATGAAGTTAAAGCAAAGAATATCATGATTCAATGGGTATCAACATTATTTTACAGTAGTTGAATTGAGAGATCATCATAAATATGTAATGATGGTTAGTTATTACTGTATGTGCTGATTATTTTTCAAGATTTTTCAAGTTAAAAAATAATGAATTAAGCAATTAAAAGGTTGGTATTATGAAAGCTTATGTTAATTGATACTTGGATTTCTAAAAGAGTAAGCGTTAAAAAATAATATTATGTGTAATACAATGAATTTGTGACTCTAATACACATAGTTTATTGCCGAAAAAAACGTAAAACTTGATCATTTTTAAATTTTATCTACATTTCTTTGTAAAGCAGAACTTTTGTTTTCAAGTATAATTTTTTTTGCTGGTCGAAAGTGGTTTTAAAGTGTAAATAAAGAGTTTTGAACCATATAACAGATCAAAAGTGACTTATATATTTTTTTTCTGAAGTCATTGTTATGGAAATCTGATTTACTCATACATATACAGTATAGTTGAATTGTTTTTCACTGTAGCGGTATTTTTAGCATATTTTTCATTTTTATCGTTTCTCAACAACATTTTCTGTATATCCAATGTAATTCATTAACAAATTGACTTAAATTACAAACATGACTGAAATTGATTTAAATTACAATTTCAGGTAGCATTAAATTAATTGTCTTTGGAAGCAATCTTTATCGTTTTGAACCGACGTTAACTGACTTAAATCCATTTTTCGTAGCATTATATTTTTATCATAGAGTGTAAGTATAATAAAATATATACGTACAGCGAAGGTGAGGTCAATATTATGGCTATCACTAAGGCTGGCTTGTTCTTGTATCCTAATTAAAGCTCGTTCCCTCGACGAGGCATCTCTCGCTCTTTCTAGGGCAACTTTCATATTTTTGTCACAGGCTGCCTTTATTGATTCTTCTATCATTGTCATTATTCTCCGCTCAGTCTGCTTGATTTTTTCTTCGGGCCTGAAAATTAAATAGTTATAAAAATCAATATATGAACTTGTAGTCTGCCTAATGGGTATACAGATTGTTCCTATATAACTTGACCGTTGCAGCATTTCTCTTTAGCCAAGATGGCATCGAAAAGTGTAATTTATAAGTCCATTCTGAAAATGAGTACTCAAGTCAGGAAAAGTTGGCAGCAACACTATTCCCACCATGAAATGGATTAAATTGTGTGTTCAGTTATTTAAACACTGTTAGAAAGCTGATTTAGTAGTGATGTATAAAAAATTTTGAACGCCAGTTTTATTAGCATTAAATCAACTGTTGAACGGTAATGACGTACATGTAAAATAACTCCACCCGTTCTACATAGGCGGCACTGATGCTGCCACCCACAAATAATGCGGCACTTCATTTTAAAATAAATCATAGTTGATTATCCGAAAATATAAAATTATAATAAAATTATTATTTGAAAAGTGTTCTAACTACAGTAAAATTTTCATTTTATTTACAATGCCATCTTGGCTGAATGCTGTTGTTAGAATGTAAATAAATTTTAAATTACGCGCGTGATGCTAAGATGCTAAGGCATTGTACCTCTGTGATTGTTCACATGTGCTTTTTCACCACGCAATGCTCCTCGAGGAGGGCTTAGGCGACCTTCTCGCAGCACAAATTGCCTAATTTCCCCCTACCCCCCTCCCAGTAATGAGAGGCCTCCCATACTTCATCCCTTCCTTCTCCTAAGTGCTAAGTGCCCATAGCAGTGCCCTTATTAAAGGAGCCGGACGTAGAGCACTATAATATATGAAAAAAAAATTTT